TGTCCAGCTGGCTGGAGCACTTCCGGGTTCCAGTTGGTGCCGGACTATCAGGAGTGCCGGACCACTGGATGCCAGACAATTGGAGTTTTATTGTATTTTGAAATAAGGGGCTGGTTATTTCGACAGCTCCTGCTTTCCTTAGGGAATAAGCTCATTTCAAAATAATTATTTCTGGAGTTATTATTTCAAAAGAAATTATTTTGAAATCTTTTTCCAGTGTAGACATAGCCTAAGGCTTTAGGGTTCACACAAGGAGGAGTGATCTGTACACATCCCTACCTCCCCCCAAACACACTAGGGCCGTGTCCAGACTCAGGGGTTTTTTCGGGAAAAGTAGCCTTTTCCCGAAAAAACTTCCCCTGCGTCCAGACTCAAGCCGCGTTCTTTCGAAATTATTTCGAAAGAACGCGGCTTTTCTTTCGATGGCGGTAAACCTCGTTTCACGAGGAAGAACGCCTTCCTTCGAAAGTTCCTCTTTTGAAGGAAGGCGTTCTTCAATGTAAAGAGGCCTTCTTCGAAAGAGAGCATCCAGACTTGCTGGGTGCTCTCTTTCGAAAAAGCGGATTTCCTCTATCGAAAGATCCGCCTGCTGTCTAGACGCGATCTTTCGAAAGAGGCTCTTTCGAAAGATGTTTTCGAAAGAGCCTCTTTCGAAAGAAGCCTGCAGTCTAGACATAGCCTAGGAGAGGTGACACACACACATTCCCACACGTCTCTCTTAACCTGAGAGTAGGGGGAGGCGACTGACTGATCCAACACTCCCTGCCTGGCTGGGCCCCTGGGACGGACCCTGCTCTCCTGATACCTGGTGCTATGTCTTCTTGAGGCAACAGGTGGGTGGAAGACAGGTAGAGTGACACTCCCCCTCCCAGATTTCTGCCAGGGTTCACACCAGAACACAGCCAGCAGCAGCCTTTTGGCTCTGTGCAGGAGGGCAGGGATGGGAGCTGCTTCCACCCGCAGGGAAGGGAGATGACCTGGCCTGTGTCTTTGCAGATCTCATCTCTTCTTTCTCTCCCTATCCCATGGCTGGAAGTAGCTTTTCCTTCTACTTGCAGCCAGTCCCAGCCAGACAGGATGGAGGCTAGGGATGTTAAGGACTAGTCAACTATCCGATAAGCAAATGCTTATTGGATAGTCAACATAGGATAGTTGACTAGTTGCTTCCTCTCTCCCTTGCTGCCTTTATCAGACAAAGAGAGGCAGTGAGAAGGCGGAAGAAAGGGGCTACTTCAAAGCAGCAGCACTGCATGGACTCCATGTGGCGCTGCCACTTTGAAATGCCGCAGCAGTGTTTCAAAGGGGCAGCACTGCATGGAGCCCAGAATCAGCTGTGCAAAGGGCAGTGCTTCCCCTTTACATGTCCCTGCAGCCCCTGAGAAAGTCAGAGCTGGGGGTCTCCACATGCTGTCCTTGCCTGCAGATGCTGCTCTTGCATCTCCCATTGATCAATAACGAAGACCTGTAGCCAGTGGAGGCTGTGGGGTTGATGCTTGTAGATGAGGGGCAGCACATGGAGCCACTGCTGTACATGCCAGCTGCTTTTGGGAGTGGTGCAGGGCCAGGGCAGGAGTGAGCCTGCCTTGACTCTGCTGCTCCATTCCTGGGGCAGCTGTCTAGGGGGCACCACCCTATGGACTAATTGAATAGTAGATGAAAAAATGCATCGACTATTTGATCAGTGAATTACACGATACTTCCCATCTTTAATGGAGGCCAGGGCCCTGCTGGCTGAGAGCCCGCATGCAGGAGGGGCTGCGCTGGTGGACCAGCACGGGGAGCAGGAGCAGCGAGCCCTGCACACTGCATCTTTGCCCTGCCACCAGCCTTGCACTCCTACCACCATCCCTGGCCATTCGATCCTCCCATTCACCGCTGGTGGACGGGCAGCTGGTGAGCAGGGATCGGCCAGCAGCAGGACCCACCAGTATTTATGGGGCGGGGGTGAGGGGAAGACAGAAAACACGGGACAATTTGCCTGTTTTTAAGAAAAAGTTGAGCCGCCCTCATGAGGGCTGAAATAGGGGCTTGTCCCTTTAAAAATGGGACATCTGACTAACCTCGCTGTACCAGGCAGCGTTTTCACACCATCCTGCCTATTATTGTCATTGCTGCAAGCAGCAGGAGGAGGCCTCCATGAATGGAGCCCGGGCCAGAGTGGCGGTTAACCCTTTCCTGCCCGGGAACCTTTCAGGTCCAGCACTGCAGCTCAGAATCCCTGTGATCAAGGAATAGTGGTAGAAATGTAGCCGTGTTAGTCTGGGGCAGCTGAAACAAAATACAGGACTCTGTAGCACTTTAAAGACTAACAAGAAGTGGGTCTGGCCCACGAAAGCTCATCATCTAATAAACCATCTTGTTAGTCTTTAAAGTGCTACATAGTTCTGTATTGTGATCAAAGGTTAGGAGAGGGGTATGCCCTAGGCCTGAATGGAGAGGAACTGTGTCTATCACAGAGCGTTTAGATGCTAATGTCTCCCTGTATCGACAACGGGAAGGAAAGGGTAAGAGACAACTGGCTGAAAGGAAGAGAGTGAGCTAGAGCAGAGATTCTCAGCTTTTTTCCTTCTGGGGTGCCCTGAACATGCTATAAAAATTCCATAGCACAGCCATGCCACAACAACAGGTTTTCCAGTAAATTAAAAGCCAGGGCCAGCGTTAGGGGGTGGTAAGAGGAACCATTGCCAAGACCCGCACCACAGGGGTCCCTTCAAGCTAAGTTGCTGGCGTTTCAGCTTCAGTCTGGGGAGGAGGACTCCAGCTTCATCTTTCTGCCCTGGGTCCCAGTGAGTCTAACGCTGGCCCTGCTCTCTGCTTTATCTGGATCCCCTGAAACTTGCTCGTGGCCCCCCAAGGGGACCTGGACCCCTGGTTGAGAACTACAGAATTAGAAAAAAGCACCTAGTCCTGACTCTGTTACAGGTTTGGTGTCTTAATTTCGGGCAAATGCCCTAGGTGAAACCCATCACACACACAAAAAAGGCAGATGTCTCACGGAAAAGTAGGTGCTGCATATGAAGTTAGCTTTGCTGTGAAATACACTACCGAACTTCTGCAATGGCATGGGGAACTGAAAGCTCCTGTTGCCTAGCAGCAATCTGCTCTGGAACTAGTTCCCTGGTCCAGCTGGTGGGGCTGAAGTAGGCCCTTTATGGATATCTTGGACATTCTCTCCTCTCCAGAGCAGGGGTTGAAATGAATTCTCCTGTTGCAAGTGAATCGAGCCCAGACAAATATCTGTGGATGTGGATCACATAACAATCATTCCCGAATGCTCAGACTGTGAAGCCCTACTCCAGACAGGTGCACCTCACCTGTCTGCCCCTCAGGAAAGCCCAATGGATTCAAAGGACAACAATCCGATTCTTCTCATGGTCTGTTTCCACATAGTGGGGACTGTTTGCCTGACCACTTTCAGGCCTGCCTGTTTTCTTACCCATCTCACCAGTGTCTTTGTTTCACAACAAATGAACTAGTGTTTGTGCAGTGTGGGTCAGATACTGAAGACGAATACACTGTGGGAAGCGGCTCCTCTCTCGACACTTGATTTCAGGTCCCTGATTTCTTTCATTCCACGGAGTGTGTGAGGACAGCTTAAAAGGAAAATTTAACTCCTTCTTCCCAAAATGCCTCAGAAAAGCTGTTGATGGGAAAAGAGAACTCAGCTCTGTGACAGTTTAGTGCCGAGCTGGGAGGATACACGATCAGAGTGCCAGTATCCAACAGCGAGCTGATCTTAAGCTAGTGCCACATGCAAGGTATATATACTTCTAGCTAACAGGAGTTAGTGACAGCCTTCCTTCTATTACAGCAGCCCTAGAGAAGGCTATTTCTTGTCAGTTAGCATGGGGATGTTGAAGGCCCTTCCTTGATCCATCAGCATAATTTTCCTCAGGAAAGGCAGCCATTACCTTCTGATTCCAGTCAGACCATGTGGTATTTATATGTAATTAGTCTGCAAAGTCTAAAGCCCCCATTATCCGATTTATCATGAGCAGCCAGAGCTGTGCAGGAATTTAAAGGGACAGAGTGGTATTTATATGTGCCATGCAATTTTGCTTTGACTGGTTAGCATTTATTAGAAGAGGCACTTCAGGAAAATAACACTTTCCCTCTGGGTTTTAGCAAGCTACTGTCTACCAGCATTGGAACCAAAGGAGGACATGATGCCCACCAAAGAGCAAGCAGAGCTCAGAGTGAATACATCCTGCTACTCTCTGTAGATCTGATAAAAGCATCAGGTGGATCCCTCGAGAAGAGATCTCCCTCTTCCACTAAGCAAATCAGGACACAGTTCCCTCTCCTTTTTGTTCTTCACTGACCTCCCTGAACATGAAGAAATCCTTTCCCAGTGTGAACTGTAATCATCACTAATTGGTGCCAGGTAATCCCTGATTTTAACTACTAATCCTCATTAACCCTAACCAGTCTTCCCCACCTTAGCCAATCCTATCTTGTTCTAGCTAATCCTCACCAAATCGGGCCATTGCTAGCCATTTTCCCCAGATAACAGCAAATCCAGCCCCTCCTAGCTCATACTCACGGTTCCTACGCAATCTCCCTCAGGGCGAATCAGCCGTGCCTGGCCATCCTCACCCGTCCTTGGGCTGTCAAGGTTGAGCTGGTTCACTGGACCTCTGGGAACGCAGCTGTGCACACACATACACCGAGGTTTTTAAAATATGCGCTGACTTTTCAGGCACTGATAGGCTGAGAGCTAAACAGCCCCTGAAGTTTCCAGGGCTCCTTCGCATGCCTCTTCGACTCTCACATAGCAGGCGGTGACAAGGGGGAGATGCCCCCTGGCAGCCAAACTAGATGCTTGGTCAGGATGTAGCTTGTTAGCAGCCCTAATGGGGAACGTCTTCGGTTATCAACCCTGGGGACTAAATTCTACCTCCCAGTCTCACCTGGCAACGGTTACCAGGGAAACCTGGAACTGCTCCTACAATAGAAGAGAGATGAAGCCCAGAGGCCTCTTCCTGGAGGCTGACAGGGATTCTGCTCTCACCCACTCCAGAGTAAATCAGGAACAACTCCACCGGCTTCCCTCCAGCTCCATGTGGCATATGCTGGCGGAGCCGAGAGCAGAATCCGGCCGCCGATTGCTACGCTTGGTTGAAACCAAAGCTGGGTAGAGGCTCAAGGCGAGGCTGTTTGACAGTGTAACCTGCCACAGACCGAAGCAAAGGGCCAAATTCAGGCAGGAAGCAAAGGGCCCATTGACTTTGGGGACCTCGCTTTGGCCCTGGAATTTTAGGGTCACTGATGCAGTTTTGCCAACTCTGGTGATTTTATTGTGAGTCTCGGAGGATTGGGGAGGCCAGGGGGGACAGTTCCCATGAATTGCTGGTGTCTGCCTTCACTCTTGGGAAAGGTTTGACCTCATCAAAAATGGCCACCATCGACTGACGCCCCACTCTCAGGGAAAATGGTCACAGACAGGGAACAGGAGAATACGGAGGTGCTGGGATTGGGGCTGTGAGCACAGCAGGTGGGGAGAGTGCTGAGAACCAGGGCAGTAAATGAGGGGGGACAAGTGGGTGGGGGGAATGTAGGCAGCAGACAGAGGGGAGCAGGAGGAGACGGTGATGGGCAGGAGACTGTGAGGAAACATAACGTGGGGACCCATAGTGGGCGCTTGCAGGGAGGACGAGTAGGGCAGCCGGATGTCTTGCTTTCTGGGACAAGTGAAGTCATGGCAGTTGGACTTTGAATTCCCTTTGAAAAGAGCAGTTACTTACCTCTCGTAACCGGTGTTCTTCAGGACGTGTTGCTCCTGTCCTTTCCAATAGGCGTGGGCACGCCACATGCACAACCATCAAAAAGCTTCCGCTAGCAGCACCCTTCTTGCCAGATGACTCCGACAGAGCACGAGTAACACAACTCGGGGAACAATGACGAGAGGTAGGTTGCCATTTTTTTCCCTTCAAGTGTTTGCTCACGTCTATTCTGAGAGCTGACTCCCAGGCAGTTCCTTGGGGGCACGACTCAGAGTTCACTTCTTTGCAGATTGTAAGACCACTCTACCAAAGGCAGCCGCATCCCTGGCGTGTTGGGTGGGAGCCTAGTGGGCAGCGAAGGTGTGAACAGAGGACCATGTAGCTGCCCCGCTTGGACAGGGACATGCACTAGGAACGCCACAGAAGATGCTAGCGCCATCGTGGAATGTGCTAGCAGTGGTTGAGGTGGCACCTTGCCAGGTCATAGCATGTCCGTTTACAGGCCGTGATCCAGGCTGAATTGTGCTGCGTGGCTGTGGGGACGCTCCTCATTCTCTTGGCAATGGTAAGAAAGAGTTGGGGCGGTTTGTGGAATGGCTTTGTGTGTTCAATATCACGCCTGCCATCCAGGGAATGAAGCACCCGCTTCTTGTTGTTTGCATGGGGTGTCAGGAAGAACACGGGCAGGGATATGTCCTGATTAACGTGAAATTGTGAAACTACTTTGGGGAGGAAGGCAGGCTGTGAGCAGAATGGACGGGGGCTCGGACATAAGCAGCCTTAGCTTGGAGGCCCTCCTAGTGGAAATCTGTCTTCCAGGAGAGCTAGGAGAGAGGGCAGGTGGCTAGGAATTCAAGTGGAGGGCCGAGGAGCTTGGTGAAGACGAAGTTAAGATCCGGCTTGTCGTACCTGTGAGTAAAGCCAGTCTAATCCCTTCAGGAAGCAGCTGAGCACTGGGTTAGCAAACACCTCCCTGCTCTCTGTGCCTGGGTGACAGGTGAAGATGGCCACCGGCCTGCCAGGTGTACTTGTGCAGGTGACGTTGTGAGGCCCTTTTGCTTGAGGGACAGTAGGTAATCCAGGATCGGGGTGGCAAGTTTGCAGAAATTTTGGTGGTGTCCAGAATGCCCAGAGCCCGCACCCCTCCCCCACTCAAGTTCTCTCCCCCATCACTTGCTTAAGGCTCTGAGGGAATTGGGGTGGGGGAGGGGCACTCCAGGTGGGAGTTTGGGTGCTAGGTTCAGGCTCGGGACTAGAGCAGGGTATTGGGAGGGCAGGGAAGGGTGTGAAGAGGGAGTCTGGGTGCAGGAGGGCGTGAAGAGTGGAGCTCTGGGGATTGGGTGCAGTTGGTGATCTGGGCTGCAGGCTCTGGAATGGAGTCAGGGGATTAGGGTGCAGGGTGCAGACTCTGGGATGGAGTCTGGGTGCTGGCTGAGGCCTGGGGCAGTCGGGGGGCATCCTGGGTGCAGGCTCTGGGAGGGAGTTTGGGGGCTGGTGGGGTGGGGGCAGAGGGTACAGGCTCTGGAGGAAGTGGGCGTGGGATACCACACTTACCTAGAGCCCTCTCTGCAGTGGCTCCTGGGGGGGCAGAGGTCTCTAGGCACTACTGCCCCCATGCTCCCCACCCGCTGCCTCCGCACTCTCCCTTGGTGCAGGCCCCAGTCCCACCTGCCACCCTGGCAACTTAAAATGCTGTGGGGGCTTCTGTTGCCACCATCATTGGTGGTGCAATGGGGCTAGAACAGCTTCCTGATGCTTGGTTCTGCAGCCGCCAGCACGTACGTCTCTGTGGCCCAGGGGAAGCGGAGCAGTGTCTCTGTGCCCTGCTCCAGGTGCTGGGGCAGTGTGGTGAAGGAGTGCCGGCATGGCTACACCAGCACGATTAGTAACAGATCAGCCATACTGTCACTGGTTCATTCTCCTGCACATCTACCAACGTAATATATGCCATCATGTGCCAACAATTCCCCACTGCTGCATATATCGGCCACACTGGACAGTCCCTACGTAAAAGAATCAATGGACACCAATCTGATATTAGGAATGGCAACATACAAAAACCTGTAGGGGAACACTTCAATCTTCCTGGACACACAATTGCAGATCTAAAGGTAGCCATCCTGCAGCAAAAAAACTTCAGGACCACACTTCAAAGAGAAACTGCTGAGCTACAGGTCATCTTCAAGTTTGACACAATCAACTCTGGATTAAACAAAGACTGTGAATGGCTCGCTAACTACAAAAGCAGCTTCTCCTCTCTTGGAATTCACCCCTCCAGATCAGCTACTAGAAGCAGGCCCCATCCTCCTTGATTGGATCCGCCTCGTCATCTCCAGCCTGATTCTGGCCTGCATATTTTTATATGGAAATTTCCACTACATGCATCTGACGAAGTGGGTCTTTGCCCACGAAAGCTTATGCTCCTACACTTCAGTTAGTCTATAAGGTGCCACAGGACTCCTCACCGCTTTTTTTTTATTGTATCCCTTTGGTATATACGGTCGTGCCAATTTTCTTCCACAATTTGATCTGAGGAAGTGGGTCTGGCCCACGAAAGCTCATCACCTAATAAACCATCTTGTTAGTCTTTGAAGTGCTGCATCGTCCTGTCTTTTGTTTCTGAAATAAGTGATGTGTGATCACCGCCTCAGAAGCGGCTTGGTGAGTGCACTGTCCCTTCTTCGGGAGGCACATGAAAGAAGCAGCTGGAGTTGCTGGTGGATGTTTACCTAAGCAAGGGGCGGGTGTATGTGCTCTATTCAGCAACAACATCCTTGTGGAAACTTCCTGTGTTACTCATTAACCAACTGCCCCCTCCCTGGACATGGATGTGACCTAGACTCCCGATCCATTCCACACAGGCACACAGCAAGGTGTGCCAGAGAAAGGACGCTGGGGACGCTGCAACACCCCCAATGTAGAATGAGTTCCCTACAATTCACAGATTAGTGGTCAGGGGACAAACGACGGCAGGGGCTGACCATATGTAGTAACAAGAAATATGTAAGTGTTGGGCAGGGGGGCTGTTTATGCCTGTTCTGAGCTTTGATTAATCCCGGACAAGCGGAAGCATTTGTTTGTGCTGCAGCCGGACGCCGGCTTGCTGAAAAGAGAATGAAGATAGTCCCAGCCCTCCCCAGCTAGTCCCTACATTGTAGTCCCATTGTCACCTGCATGCCCTGATGCCCCTAGAGTCCCTGTTCTGAGCCCCAAGTATTGTCTTTCCCCCCTCAAATCTGCCCTAATTGCTCTTGAGCTGGTGAGTGTGCGCCTCAGATTTTTGGAAGGTTGCCCCAATTCCTGCAGTGCTTAGAAAGACGGAAACACCACCTCTTTAAACTCTCTTCAGCTCTGGATTTCCACTATGCTCCGTGAACTGTGTCTGCAGTTCTGTGGGTCCATGTTTTCTCTGCTGAATACAATGCTGGCATTAACCATTAATGAACAATAACGTCTTCTGTGCCTGCTCTGCTTGCCTCTCTGTCATCACGACTCGTCCGAAAACTGTTCTCTCGGGAGTCCGTTCCCTGCTCCTTGCCTGCAGTCTGCTCATTAGCGCCAAAGCCATTATGCAAAATCCTCCCCCAGGCTCAGCCCTAAAGAGTCAATGGAGTGACGTCTCCAATGGATCAGCCCACATAACCACAAACACTGATAATCTCCCAGGGCAGCGGTGCCAGACTGGTAATTTCCTGCCCTGTCCTGAATGATTTTGACCAAATTAGCTTAAACCTTATTGAATAAGGTAAATATCACTAGGGGCCGTTGTATCAGAAGTGCAGGAAGTGTAGGCAGTGCTGTAGAATTGTATGTAATGTCTCTAGGCGAAGGGAGAGACTAACGTAACTCCTCCATTTAGCAGCCCTTTGAAGCCAGGCCTAGAGAGGTGCTTGTACACTGGTTCAAAGGTGGAGGGAGTCCAGGCACCAGCAGACAATATATTTTTGGATAAATAGCCTGGTTTTAAACTAGCTATGGGCCTTCTTCCTGATCCAGTAAATGGCCAGGCCCCCGTTCTACAGAGGGCCTCAATATTTGGGGAGGTGATGGAGGGACAGGGTCTAAAGATGCCCCATAACACTGTGCGCTGAAGCAAACTTGAAACCACAAGGCTACTCCTTGGGTGGATGCTGCAGGGTGATCTCTGGTAAACTTATTAGTAGCTGCGCAGTTTTTTTCCTGTTTGGGGCACATTTTCTCGGTCGTGCTGTTTACTTTCAGAATCAAAGAGGCTTGCCCAGGAAGTGCTGTGTGGTAGGCCGCTATAATATACCGACGGGCAGCTGAACTGGTAATGGTCCTGGAAGAGAAAGCCAGTACCTCTGCTCAGACTGTCTGTTGCTGGGCTAACACGGTGAAGGCAGGGACAACGCTGGGAAGGCTCGAGATAAGAAAGCCAGAAAGCAGAAAGATGCAGGTCTCCACCCAGGAGAGCGGAAGCCTGGCGGAGCGTCCCATTGCTAGAGCAGTGAGGGGAAACGCAGGTGCAGTGAGGGGAAACTGTGGCATATTTCCCCTTTCCCTTGGATCTGCTGGTCTGTTTCTCCTTTTACCCATCTGGCCAGGTATGTAACCCCCTCAGGACAGAGACCTGGCTTGGTTAATTTCATTCCCTGAGATGAGATCTTTGGATCAAAAGCAAAAACCTGAAGTGCTAAGAGTTACTGCCGTAGTAAATCAGCGCTGCTCCATGGGTTTCACTGGACAATGCTGGTTACGGACCTGCCTATTGCTATTCAGTTACCAACATCAGAGCAGAGAGAAAGCTGTCAAGGTTCTCATAGAAGGCTGCATTTCAGATGATTCCAATGACCCCTCTAGCACACGGAAATCAAAGATCAGCTCCGACGTCATTAACGGACAGTTATATTCCAGGTACCTCATGAGCTATACAGCATGAATTTCCGTTATACGCTCCCCACCATCCCTGCCCTCTTCCTCTGCTGGCCTCAGCCGTTTAAAATAGCATTGCTGGCTTGAAACCACTTATGTGAATCATTCGGATCCCTTCCTTCCTGTCTCTCTGCAAAACGATCCTTCTGTCCATCTGCTTTGGGGCAGATCTCTGTCCTCTACATCCCCCTCACCCGACAGTTTCAGGGGCTCCTCTTCAGTCCCAGCCATACCCTTCCTAACACAAGACGGGCATCGGGAAAACCCACAGCATTCCACATGACAGCAGGG